AAAAACCCTCGTTTTCCTACAATCGCCGTCGCTTTTCTCGCCGGCCGGAATCTTCTCATCTCACTACGATCCATGTCCGGCATCGTACGATCTTCTCCCGGTCCTACTCATCCACGTCCGCCGCCGCCGCAACATCCGCCGTCATCTCCGGCTCCGGCAGCATCTACGACGGTTGTACCACCCTTACGTCGTCACTTAGCGTTCGCCTCAACAAAACCTCCGTTTCATCCTTCCGATGACTACCATCGATTTACCCAGTCTTCCTTTAGTCATAATGATAATAGCAGCCTCGTTAATGGCTCTGGAGTTGTAGATCGGGACGAGGATACCGTCGTTGTTAGATCTCCTGTGAGTTTACCTCGCGTTTGAGTGGTTTTGATTGTTCGATTTTGGGGGGTTTTTTTCAATAGCGAGATTCGTTTAGAATTCGATGATGTTTCGGGATTGTCTTGCTACATTTCCGCTACTTGTTGCCTCCAAAACGATTTGTTAGGCCGATGTTAGTGCTTCTCAGCTTCAGATTATCGTGGATTCATGTCAATTTTGGGTCACCATTTAGCTTCACGATGCTACATTTTGTCTGACATTGCGTTTCAATTAGACCCAATTGACGATAATCTTGAAATCAGGCAACAATTTCTCCGATTGCTATGCCATTTTGCGCTTTGATTGTGCAATTTTCTTGGCTAGAGTGTCAAATTCTGTGTGTAATTTCACTCAATTGAAGCTCTCCTTGTTCAGTAATCAGTGAATTTGCCAATGTTGTTCTTTATACGACCCATCTAGTTCTCTTACATCGTTGTTCTGTCATATATTGGTGAGCATATGCTAATTGTAATAGTTCATGAAGGTTGACATTGTTGTCGTAGATCCCATTGTTGTGAAAGCTTCTGATGGGTAATATAGAGAATTTGTGTGTATATGCTTTGAAACATTTTGGTTTTATATCTCTTTTGCCGTTTGTGTTGTCTGGTTTGGGGATGGACCAACTTCTTTCGAGTTAATAACAACTAGATTATCTGCAGTCACGGAAGAGAAAGTCGTCAATGGATGCGGCTCCATCTCATAACGGATTCACGAGTTCTGGTTTCAGTAGCATACCCAGCAGTCCTTATCAAAGTCCTGTTTCAGCGAAAGGAGGCAGAGTCAACATCAAGTCAAAGGCCAAAGGAACTAAGTCAACTCCCCATACACCCATCTCAAATGCTGGTAAGTAGAATTGTTGATTATCTGTTTGAAATATCTTTCATGTCTCGACCGACAAGTAGGTCAAAGAGCTGATTGTTTTTCTGGTAAACTTGCAGATTCTCCTGCCACACTTACACCTTCTGGAAGTTGCCGTTATGACAGTTCTTTAGGTAATTAACAGCTGCTCATGTATATATCTCTAATAATCGCTACATGTTGTAGTGGATATGAAGATGCTGACACAGCTTTTCAGGTCTCCTTACAAAAAAGTTTGTCAATCTAATTAAACAAGCGAAAGATGGAATGTTGGACCTAAACGAAGCTGCAGTAACATTGAGTGTGCAGAAACGGCGTATATATGATATTACAAACGTTTTGGAGGGGATAGATCTCATCGAAAAGCCTTTCAAGAATCGAATACTTTGGAAGTGAGGAATTTTATGATATATTATGCTTATGTAGTTCGTACCATATCTACTTCATTTTGAATCACTTTACTACATGTAAACTAACTTGAGGATCAATAAACTTGATTAGGGGAGTTGAGTCTTTGAGGCCTGGCGATATGGATGCTGACGTGTCTGCATTACAGGTGTAGTGAAACAGCATGTACTTTCAGTTTTTGTGCTCGTAAATCGTGAATTTTCGGCAGTAATTGAAGTCTTAGATTGTGGCTTCACTTGATTAATGATCTTTTTTTCTCCTTGCAGGCAGAAATTGAAAACCTTGCCCTCAAGGAGCATGCGTTAGATAATCAAATCAGGTCTCACAGCATTCATTTTAGAGAGTTTTGGGTTTTTTGTGATTAATCCACTCAACCAATGCTAATGTTTAACAACTTCTCTTCAGGGAAATGGAGGAAAGATTAAGAGATCTTAGCGAAAATGAAAAGAATCAGAAGTAAAAATCTATCTCTATCTATTGTTTTGTAGGGATAGTTTGTTTTTGAAATGAGATGCATATTCTTATGATGGGCACTGAACCAATCTGTTCACATTGCTCAGATGGCTTTTTGTAACTGAAGAGGATATCAAGAGTTTACCGGGTTTCCAGGTCTGCCTATCCTATTTCATTTGTTATAATCCTTAGGAATTTCATCAATGACTGTACGTATGTCGATCCCAAGACTCTCTTGCTCACTTATATCTTAACTCTCACTTTGCTGCTCCTGCAGAACCAGACTCTTATAGCCGTCAAAGCTCCTCATGGCACAACTTTGGAAGTGCCTGATCCAGATGAAGTTAGTCTCAATCAGCGACTTCAGAAGACATCTGCTATTAATCGTTAGATGCCTAAACGTGATGATAATATGTTTCTTCTCTATTTGACAGGCGGCTGACCACCCACAAAGGAGATACAGGATCATTCTTAGAAGTACAATGGGACCTATTGACGTATACCTCGTCAGGTATTTATGTCTTGCCTTCTCATTTCTTCTATCTTCTTTTAAAGTAGTCACCCAAAGGTTTAGTTTGGTCTTTACGTTGAAGTTTGTTTGGCACCACATAGAAACATCCCTCCTAGAGGTATACAAATAGTTGAACATAGAAAAACAAGAAATTGAAAGATTTCGTGACTTGCATGGTTTTAAACTTTGACTTCATGTTCAGCGAATTTGAAGGGAAGTTTGAAGACACAAATGGAAGTGCTCCACCTGCAAGCTTACCTATTGCTTCTTGCTCAGGATCTACAGAAAATCATGACATCGAAGCCTTAACTATTGATAACACAGAAACTGCTATGGAGCATCAGGTCTCTCATGATCATGCTCATCCTCAACCCGGCGATACCTCTGATCTTAATTATTTGCAAGAGCAAGTAGGAGGGATGCTTAAGATTACTCCCTCTGATGCCGAAGTAAGCCATCTTCCTACTTATTTTAAGATACTCCATAAAAACTATAAAATTGAGGACCGAAAACGTATCAATAGTCACAATGAATATCATCTATCAGAAAAACTAACATGTCTGTTATAAACGTAGTTTGATGTCGGATTTATGTTTTGCAGAACGATGATACGGACTACTGGCTTCTCTCGAATGGTGAAATTAGTATGACGGATATTTGGAAATCTGACTGTATCCTTTGATATATCAAACTATT